AGAGAGAGAGAGAGAGAGAGAGAGAGAGAGAGGTTTCTGAAAGGGATACAAAAAAGAGACTGGATAATTTCTAAACAGTATTCACCAATAATTGTCTATGGGCAATTAGGGAAAAAATACTTAAAAAGCAGAAATTAAATAAGGTATCCAATATAGTTGTGAACTTCTAGATAGAGCAATATCTCACAAAATGAATAACCCTTCACTTTCAAATAGGCAGAAACTGTCAGTCTTTAGCACATACAGATCCATTTGCTGTTTTGCTTTGGGGACTTTTTTTTTAGTAAATTAGTTGCCAACATTTAAAATCAAACGTTTCCTATAATACCCACATTTCTAGCTTCTGTTTAACAACCTCAAGATCTGGCAGGCACCAGTAGTTCATGCTTGTAATCCCAGCCACTCAGAGGTCTAAGGACAGTGGTTCAAATCTGAGAGTTGCTCATCTCCAGTTAGCAGCAAAAAGCTGGAAGAGGAGGCGTGGCTCAAGTGGTAGGGTGCCAGTCTTGAACAAAAAAATCTAAGTGAGAGTGTAAGGCTCTAAGTTCAAGTTCCAGCACTAGTATAAAAAAATAAATAACAAATAAATTTTTTAAAAACAGAACAAGATTTGGCAGTGCTTGGCCAACATTCTCAATTTCACACATGAATTAAACTGATGATGTTCACATCTATAAACCAATCTAATCTCCCTAACACAGAGACCCAGGGGGTATTACCATTTACCATTGAACTCATGTCATCCACCAAACTTTAACCCATTATATGTACCATGCTCTAGTAAGACAGCAGCTAAATTCACCTGAGAAAAACAAACCCATCAAAACTAATTAGCTCTTTTCAAAGGTAATTTGTTCACAGTCATCATTTTAAAATATGTGATCCAGGATATAAATGTATTTGCATGAAATATAAAATGTATATATCTCCAAGGCTGTTCACTATAATATTATTTGAAATAGCAAAACACTGAAAGCCACTGAAATGTTAAGCAGTAGGAGACTGGCTAAATATTCCATTGTGTGAAAAAATCCACACAATGGGATACTGTACAACTATTTTTAAAAAGGGAAAGAAAAAAGTAGACCTATTATCTACTTCTCAGAACATTCCTCTAGAATATATTTTAAGAAATGAAAGAAAAGAATGGGAGAGGAAGAAAAAAAGAAGCAAGTAATTTGAAGGACCATATATATAAAATGTCATCTCATTTGTGAGAAAGACTTTTAAGAGAAAAATATACTTGTAAATGTGAAGAAAATTTCTGGAAGAATATATGAGACCAAAAACTATATAGGAAGTAGGGTGTTTTTTTTTTAGTAGGGTTTTTTTTTAAGTTGGAAATAATTACTTTTACTTTTTTTATAATTACTTTTATGACTTCCTGCCCCTTTTTAAATCATAAGCACATATTATATTTATATATAATTTTTAAATGAATTTTTTTGTCGTGGAGATTGAACTCTGAGCCTGGGGCACTGTCTCTGAGCTCTTCAGCTCAAGGTGAGCACTTTACCACTTGAGCCACAGCACCACTTCTGGTTTTCTGGTGGTTAATTGGAGATAAGTCTCATGGACTTTCCCGCCTGGGCTAGCTTTGAACTGTGATCCTGAGATCTCAGCCTCCTGAGTAGCTAGGATTACAGGCATGAGCCATCCGGCACCCAGCTAAGAATGAATGTTTTAATGACTAAAACAAAGCAAGAATCAGACATCCATGGCTTATACCTGTAATCCCAGCTATTCAGGAGGCAATCTGAGGATTGTGGTTCAAAGTCAGTTTAGGCAGGAAAGTCCATGTGAGACTCTCCTCTCCAATTATCCAATTATCTAAGTTAGAGTTAGGCTCTCTTATCTCATCAGGATATGCTGAGTACTACAACTGTGACTTCTCAGTTGAGAAATACACCATAAATCCAGTGTGTGCCAGTACAATCGCTTCTGATTGCTGAAATTTCATTTCAACAACTCAGCTGACCTCACCAACACTAAGTAAACTTTAGCAAGTATGAATTCAATTAAGCAATGATTCTCTACAACTGGATTTCAGACCAGAATTCTCTCCCTTCCAATTGTAGGGACTAACATAAGGTTGACAGACTGGTAATTTCACCAACTAACAACACTTTTCTAAACCTACCCACTCAGCTGGAAGTAGAGCTGTGGCTTAAGTGGTACAGCACTAATCTTGCTCAAAAAAAGCTCAGGGACAGCACCCAGGCTGAGTTCAAGCCCTAGGACAAGCACAAAATAGGAAGGGAGGACGGAAGGAAGGAAGGAAGGGAAAGGAGGGAGGGAGGGAGGGAGGGAGGGAGGGAGGGAGGAAGGGAGGGAGAGAAGGAGGGAGGGAAAGAAAAGAGATAAAGAAGGAAAGAAATAGAGGAGAGGAGGGGAGAGGAGGGGAGAGGAGGGGAGAGGAAAGGAAAGGAGAGGAGAGATGAAGGGGAGCTGTGTGTTCACCAAACATCTAGGACATAACTTTTTCCTGAGAATCCTTTGATTTTTGAAATGTCTCCCACTCAGCCCATCCCTCATCCTCACCTCCTGGGTCTCATGTGTACATCTTAGGAGAGGTGGTGAAGGAAGACTAGGTATGCCCTGTAGGCTTATCTCTTTAAACCAAGTCCCTAGAACCACTGACAGAATCCTCCTGATCACCCTCCCTGGCCAGCCCTGTGTGAAGGTAGGAACCTGGGAAGGGTTCCCACAGTGCATTAGTTCCCTACAGTAAAGAGTATTGTGGTGCTATCTATCCCTGGTCAATAATTCATGAAGCTCAGACTGAGGGGCACCAGTCAGAGTCAGTTTTCCCTCAACATGGGGAAAGTTAGAGTTAGGCTCTCTTATCTCATCAGGATATGCTGAGTACTACAACTGTGACTTCTCAGTTGAGAAATACACCATAAATCCAGTGTGTGCCAGTACAATCGCTTCTGATTGCTGAAATTTCATTTCAACAACTCAGCTGACCTCACCAACACTAAGTAAACTTTAGCAAGTATGAATTCAATTAAGCAATGATTCTCTACAACTGGATTTCAGACCAGAATTCTCTCCCTTCCAATTGTAGGGACTAACATAAGGTTGACAGACTGGTAATTTCACCAACTAACAACACTTTTCTAAACCTACCCATCTGCTTTAATCATCTTTTCTGAAAGAAAAGACTAACACCAAAATTGAGAGCAAAAGCACATTGAAGAATAAAGCATTAGCTGTTAAGTTAAATATGCTTAGCTTTATGAAACTCATTAGATTCTCATTGTGCCTCAAACTAGTGGAAACATCATCATAGGCAAGCCCTGTTTCTCAGTCTGGCACTTGGCAGCCCTTGGGTTAAAGCAGTTCAGGCACTTGCACGTGGGTATGTTCAGCCTTTGTATAGTGTACCATAGCCATCCAGATTTATGAATTCTCCCAGAAACCCAGGAGGGAGATCATTTCAGCCCACTTGGCAGAAACGGAGGCTGAAGTCTTGGATCCAGAATTTATAGCTGTTGAGGACTTTATTCATCATCTACTCAACATTCTCAGTTCACAGATGAAGACTCTGGCTTGTGGCAGCAATAATAATTACTGTGTGATGGCAATAATTACTATGTGCTAGTAGTTTACAGTTCATAACGTGCTTTTATATTCAGCAAATATTTATTGAACTAGGCTGGAGGTTAAGACCTAGGGACATAATGATCAGGAAGAACTTGAGCATTCCTGAGTTCTCTGTCCATTACTGGCTGGGGATGTCCTGGAGCATCCAATCTACCATTTAGTCCCTGGAAGATGGGAAGTCCTCTTGAATAGAGTCAGTATCTCTATCTCTGCACTCTGCTTACCACTGTGGTCCCAGTCTGCCCTCATAGACTGTGAAGTTGGCACAGACCTTGAGGAAAGGGTAGTGCCAGGCCTATGACTAGCTATAGATCTCCCATTACATTTGTTTCCTGGGCTCCTCTACCCTTGCATAGTGGACTCCATGAAGATCACAATCTTGACAGCCTTAAAATATTGTCCTCCTCTGAGCTGTAACCTGTGTAGACTCAGATTGTGTGTGTGTGCGCGCGCACACACACACACACACACACACATATGCTTACTAGTAATGGGGCTTGAACTTAGGACCTGGGTGCTTTTGTTTTTTTCTGGCTTTGATTTTTTTTTTTTTTTTTTGGTAGTTAATTGGACATTAAGAGTCTCACAGACTCTCTTGCCCTCACTGGATTCGAACCATGATCCTCAGATCTCAGACTTCTGAGTAGCTAGGATTATAGGCATGAGCCACCAACACCAGCTCAAAACAGAATTCTTTCTTCAAGAAAATCTGTCTGGCATCGGTGGCTCATTCCTGTCACCCTAACTACTCAGGAGGCTGCAATCTGAGGATCATGGTTGGAAGCTACCCTAGCAGGAACGTCTGTTAAAAAACAAAAAACAAAAACAAAAAAAACAGAAGTGGAGCTGTGGCTCAAGTAGTAGAGTGCTAGCCTTGAGCAAAAAAGATCAGGGACAGTGCCTAGGTCCCGAATTCAAGTCCCAGGACCAGTAAGGGCGCGCGTGCGCGCACACACACACACACACACACACACACACACACACACACACACAGAGTCTGTTTTGAGATTTGAAGGAGCAAAAGAAAGTAATTCAAAACCTCCTCTTCCATGGCCTCACCACAATCAGAGATCAAGCATATGTGAAGGAGGAGCTGGGGCTCGAGGAAGTCGACAGCGTTGCTCCTGGGTGGGAGGAACTAGAGTGGCCCTACAAGAAACCTTGGACCCAGGGCAGGTCGCCAAGACCGGCAGAGGGGAGAGCCCTGCGGGGCGCGGCAGCAGTGCGCCGGCAGGGGGCGCCCGCAGCTGCAGCCGGCTGCCCGGTGCGGAGCCGCTCCCCCACCTCCACCCCCCCTCTGCCGCCCTGGGCCCAAAGCCAAGTCCCGGAGGCGGGACCCGCCTCGTCCTGCCCCTTGTCCTTCTGAGCAATCACCGACCCGGGCAAAGTAGAACTCCCCCTCCTCCCATCGCAGGCCTGAGCCATGCAGAAGGCGGGACTGCTGCTTGGTGGCTGTGTGCGGGCGTGGAAGTCCGCGAGGATGGCCAGTTCCAAGGTGACCCGCCAGAACCCGCTCCAGAATAAGGTGGCCCTCGTGACGGCCTCTACCGACGGGTGAGTGCCGGGACCGGAGTCGCTGAGGCCCTCGATCCCAAGAAACAGGGACTGCCCTCTTATCCTTTGTCTCCGGGGGGCCCCGATTCTCAGTCCTCGAACGTGATCCGTGGAGAAGAGGAGGCCACGAGACCCACCCGAACCCCCTGACCTAGCCCCTCCACCGCCAGACCTCGTGAGTGTCACTGCTGCCTTTAGCACAGTGCATGCTCAATGCCTTCAAAGACCCAAACTCTGTGCTCCGGGCTGCCCCAGTCAACAGCTCCACCTAGAGCCTGGGAAGACCAGATAACCTGAATTCCAAAGGGCCACATGTCGAAGTCCTAACCTGCAGTCTCCCCCCCTTATGAAAATGCTGCAGCGACCCCATTTGGGCACCCGAAAAGCCTCCCAGTGTTACCCACCCAACCCCTGTATCTAGATGGGACACCCATAGATCCAGATTTTTGTTCCAGTCAATACATTTTGGCCCACCCTGCCTGGCGTGGATCTCTCTCATCACCCAACCACCCCTATGTCTATCCTGTTTCTCTCTCCCAAAGGACTTTGCTGGATGGTAGTTCCTCGTGAATGTAAAATACAGAACCCAGAGCTAGTGACTCACACCTGCAATCTTAGCTACTCAGGAGGCTAGGATCTGAGGATCACAGTTCAATGCTAGCCCCAGCAAGAAAGTCAGGTGAGCCTATCTCCAATTAACCACCAAAAACCTGTTAGAGGAACTGTGACTCAAGTGGTAGAGCACCGGCCTTGAGTGAGAAAGCTAAGGGGCAGTGCCTGGGCCTTGAATTCAAGCCCCAATATTGGCACAAAAATAGATAGGTAGGTAGATAGGTAGATAGATAGAATAAAGATGAATAAATACTAAATACAAGTCATTTGAGATGCTCATGCCTGGGCTGGGGGTGTAGCTCAGGAATAAGACACCTGACAAACATGCAAAAAGTCCTGGTGGCTAGCAGTTGGAAAATGTGCAGTCCTTATTCCTATGAGAATATTTCAATTTTTAACCATCCTTTCTCATTCATCCCCAAAATGCAGCTAAGGGTAGTCCCATTTCATAATTGAGAATGATATCCTCTAGTTAAGGGAGATATTTGGGGACAGGGATTCTTTCAAGTGAGACCCTCAAATAGCTGATGCGTGATGTCAGGTCCAGGGAACCAACATTAAAGAACAAGATCTTATGTCTACCTGGCAATGGCTATGCCATTATGCCTGTTTTATATCTAATATAGACACATGGAGATTATACAGACGACGACAAGCTGAATCCAAATTCAGGCAGTCCAATCCAGGGCCCATGCTGGAAGCCTTTTTCCTTGTACAGGCTTTAACAAGTCTTTGTCTCTCTCTGCCTGGCAGGATTGGCTTTGCCATCGCCCGGCGTCTGGCCCAAGATGGAGCCCACGTGGTTATCAGCAGCCGAAAGCAGCAGAATGTGGACCGTGCAGTGGCCACGCTGAAGGGGGAGGGGCTGAGTGTGACAGGCACCGTGTGCCACGTGGGGAAGGCCAAGGACAGGGAACGCCTGGTAGCCACGGTGAGCAGCAGGGATAAGGGCATCCAGCCAGGAGGTGGCAGAAGGGAGCCAGTCTGCTCCATCTCTGATTTCCTAGACAGCTTTGGTGCCATGCAAAGCAAAACTATTAACTAAAATTTAACAGTACATCTAAATACCCCACTAGAACACTAGCTCATTTTTATTGTGTGCCTTTCTATTATGTGCATATCCCAGTCTGAGAACCATCTGGTTCCAATCAGAAAATTTAAAACTACTCTAATGCTTCAACCTTGCATCATCTCTTAGCCAGGGGAAGGGGGGACTAGGCTTGGACTGGGACTAGGCCATTTTGTGTAATTGAGCAGATATGAAAGGCACATGAAATCACAGAGTAGTGTTCCCACTCATGATCAAATAAACAATCTCCTGTACTTTGGCTTATAGAGTCCCTGGGAACTTATCAAAGGCAGCCCACCCTATTAACCATCCCCTGCATGCTATTGACTGGTTCTGAGCCATACCGGGTTTTCTCTAAAGCTGACACTAATCCAAAAAAGGCAAGGATTATTCTTCCTATTTTCAGAGACTGATTCATATAGTTAAACCTACTTCCTAAGGTTTCATAGCCAATAGGGAAAGAGCTGTGATTCAATCCAGATTCCCTGCTTTTTGGGCTACCTGCAGTGCCTACCAGGCACTTCTCCATTAGCATAGAGACAGGCCTTAGGTGCTGGTATGGACTTTAATCTCAAAGTTGGCATCTAAGCCAGACTTTGAGTTGGTACTTGGCACCACCTTCCAGCTGCAAAGACAATACAAGTCATCCAACAGAGTCACAGGGTGAACCTCCCCACGAAGGCAAAGTAGGGGATTGTGCTAACAGCTTGAAAGGTTGGCAGAAATAATCCAGGTAATCTTACAAGAGGAAGTCCTCAAACAATGGTAGATAGAGGTATTGTGGACGGATAAGTTAATTCCCTTTCTAAGGAACCATTTGGCAAATGCTCCAAAGTGATTGCAATCAGACAGATGTAGACCTAAAAAGGTCATCTTGCATTATGGCATAGACTGATGGACAGAGCCAGAGATTGGGACCTTGACTTTCAGGGTGGAGGGAGATATTTTGGGATCCTGGGCCAGTCAGTGACTAATCACTTGAAATAAATATTGTAACCTCTCTTCTCCTTTGATTTTCCAGTGTCAGGGGGCAAACCCAGGCCTTCTCAGAATTTAATATCAAAATCCTGCTTTGGCCAGGCATTCATGCCTATAATCCTAGCCACTCAGGAGACTGAAATATGAGGATCTTAGTTCAAAGCCAGCTCAGGCAGAAAAGTCCATGAGACTCCTATCTCCAATAAACTACCAGAAAACCAGAAATGTTGCTGTGGCTCAACTGGTAGAGCCCTAGCCTTGAGCCAAAGAGCTGAGGGACAGTGCCCAGGCCCAGAGTTCAAACTCCCCAACCAACCAAAAAAAAAAGTCTTCTGGCCTATGACAAGTCTATCTAGTAGGTCCTTCAGCCCTACTCAACTAGGATTTGGGCTAAGACCCTGAGGAGTGGGAGTAGAGAGATAGAGTAAGGATGGGGTTCCAGATGACCTTACAAAATGAGCAGACAGCCAAGGAGGGACTGGCAGAAATAGGAAAAATCTAGTCCACAGCATATATCATATACTCAAGAAGGACTGTGGAAAATGGGCTGCATAAGAAAGGTGGACAGAGGAACATCCACAACCTCGCAGAGGCATATAAAGGTCTCTGTAGGAATAAAAAGCCATGTGAGGTTTTGAGCAAGATGAAAATGATAATTAATCAATAATTAACCAATGGTAGGAAGGATAACTACAGAAGACCCTGAGCCAAGGGCATTTTTGAGAAAGCTGTTGCTGTCATCTGTGTCGAAAATAGTAGTGATGGGACCAGAATGGATTGTCCAAGAAACATTTAGTGGAACCAACCAACATTTTTTTCCTCAACCACATGTCAAAAAACTGAGAAATAGGAGAGATAAGTCAAAACAACTTTGGAAGTTTGTATGACTGTTGTCAGAGTGCAGAGTAATAGGCAATTACCAGCAGTTTGAGATATGTCTGACTGTTGCCAGCTGTTGCCCTGCACTGAGAAAATCTGCCACCAAGAGGATGGTTACTCGGTGGCAGAAAACACATTAGCAATTTCTCCACTTGATTATATCTTTTTCTTTAAAAAAAAAAAAAAAACCTGTTGAAAGAAAAACCACTTCAGTGTAGTGATCACACAATCTAGAACAAGATTTAGAAGGAACCAGAGAGATCATAGGTACCTTTCTCATTCATCTTATATGGTTTTTGTTCTGTTCAATCAAAACTCAGCCTTTAGCCAGGTGTGGAAGGCTCATAACTGTAACCCTAGCTACTCAGGAGGCTAAAATCTGAGGATCATGGTTTGAAGGAAAGTCCATAAGACTCTTTATGTCTAATGAATCACCAAAAAAATCTGGGAGGGAGAGCACAGAAGTAGAGGGACAAAGGGTGAACAAATGCAGCAGTGGTACTCACTAGAAAATGAACTCTACAACTTGTAGGCAGGCACGGGAGAGGAAAACTGGGAGATAGTGAAGGAAGAGATGACATTGTACAAAAAGAATGAAAGGGTAAGCCCTCTGCATATCCCCTTTATAATAGCAATTTTTTTAATTAAAAAGAAAAGCTAGCCAGGCACCAGTGGCTAGAATCCTATCTACAAAGGAGGCTAAGATTTGAGGATCATGGTTCAAAGCCAGCCTGGGCAAGAAAATCTATGAGACTCTTAAATCTAGTTAACCACCAGAAAACTGGAAGTGGAGCTGTGACCAAAAGTGGTACAGCACTAATCTTGCTCAAGAAAAGCTCAGGGACAGAGCCCGGGCACTGAATTCAAGGCCCAGGACACACACACACACACACACACACACACACACACACACAAAGCTGGAAGTGGGGCTGTGACCCCAAGTGGTAGCACATTAGCCTTGAGCAGAAAAGCTGAGGGACAGTGCCCATGATTTCAAACCCCAGGACCAACATGCACACACACACTCACACACAAACACACATACACAAAAACATTCAGCCTTTTCCCCTCTGTGCTGACAGGCCTGCAAGGATACAGAGACAGGGCACACAGTAGAAGGCAGAAGCTCTCTAGCGACTCTAGTATGACCAGACATCTTTCTGTACACACACACACACACACACACACACACACACACACACACGTCTACTTATTTACAGAGCATCAAACACATCACTTATTTTCAATTTAGCTTGCCTAGTAACTAAGCCATCCACCAGGCTTACTCAGACTCAAGGTGGGGTAGATGAGTGAGATTTAGTACCACAACACCAAAAATTAGAGAGCATAAGAAAAGCATTGGTTTTAAAAGATTGTGTGACTTTAAATTTTGTTAAATTTACATATTGACAGCAATGTAGAAACAAGTCAGCAAGAATAATTAGTTAAAAGGCGAAGCTAACAGATGGAGTGTTTTGTTAATAACACCCTTTGTGTGCCAAATCTGATGCACAAAGTTGATCGAAAGCCTATTTCATGCTACTTGTCCAAGCTATCAAAATCGCCAGATCTAGGCAAATGGAAAGACTGGGTTTCAGGATAGCATGTATTGAAAATTCTTGTTGGCAGGTTTTCCTTAGCCATCCGTTATTCTAACACAAGCCTTCACCACTTACTTACAACTTAAGAAGGAGACACCTCCTTTGTTCATTAAACCTCAGTTTCTGCTTTATATCTTCCATGGCTCTGGATCAAAAAGAAGAGAGAGAAAGAATGACATCAAAGCTGAGTATAGAACTGCTTTAAACTTAGGGTAGTATCTTTATCATCAGTGGTGTAGTGATCCCAAGTCACTTTCTGAAGGCACCTGTGAATGAGCTCTGTGCTGCAAAGTGGGAGACTGACTAGTTCTGCCACCACTAACTGGCTTTGTTGGCTGAGCAAATCCTTTTACCTCTCTCAAACACCAAATGGGCAGGCCTCCTGTAAGCCCTAAAGTATCATTTCTGTATCATGTGACCTTGAAAGATGAATGCTCCAGTTTTATCACCTCTACCAGGAGGACACTGGTTTACATGATCAGGATCCTTCCCAATGATAACTTTACCTGAGTCTAGTTAAACTTGTTTCCTTATTCAAATAAGTGTGAACAAGCTGATTCTGAAAGTGGTAACTTACTCAAAGATAATGGACAGCCAGAACAAGGGGAAATGGAGTTGAGACTCAGTTTGAAAAGAAGAGAGGGTTCTATTGGTCTAGAAATAGATTTTGAGGTGAGTGTTGAAGGAATGAGACTGAAAATGTTCCCTAAAGAGGAAATGTAGAGGAAAGAGTCAGAAACATCATTAGATGAAAAAGCAGGCTAGAAAGGAGGCAGAAGAAATAAGACAACCTCAAATGGTTAGCAGTAGAACTTAGGGTAGTTATTCAAGAGATGTTTAATAGCTGTTCCTAAGAAGAAATTCGTTATCAACATTGTATCTCCTTCTCTTACTGGAAGCCCTGACCCAGACCTTCCTCCCCTCCAGGCCGTGAACCTTCATGGAGGTATTGACATCCTCATCTCCAATGCTGCTGTTAACCCTTTCATTGGGAACCTATTAGACACCACTGAGGAGGTGTGGGACAAGGTAAGAGTGAGTTAAAACAGCAGGGGGTAGGCCTTAGGAAACATCCAGCACAAATGTAGTGTGCTTTTAGCAAGCTTTGTCAAATGCCAATGTAAATGTAACACATCACACATCCAGTGTGCACCTGGTAAAGGGCAGGTGGGTGTGGCCTCTTCTGTCCTGCTCTTCTCTTCCATTCTCTTCTTCCCCAGTTTTGTCTTCTTCCATTTGCTTTGTGCCAGCCATCTTCTGCTTCTCTTCCCCAGCTCTCCCCTGTGTTTACTCTTCTTCGTGATTTACTTCCAGCCAAGACATGGCAGCTAATAGGCCAACAACTAATCCACTTAAACTTGCACACCCACCCATCTTCTTTGCAGCTGCCAAGAAAGAATGCTTTTGCATTAGTTTGGAAACATGAATAGCTGCTGGTTAAATGAAATATCAATTCTGGTAAAATTACCAAAGTTGCTACTTTATAACATAATCGTCTCTCCCTGTCACCTCTCTTTTTCCCAGTACTGAGGATTGGACTCAGGGTCTCTTACTTGCTCTACCACACTTCTATTCCTTTTGAAGTATTTTTGTCTTGCTTTATGCCCCAGCACAGCTGGGCTACAATCCTTTTTGTGCTTTCTGTGTCACTGGAGATGATGGGCACATGGTATTGCTCCCAACCATTATGCTTCCTCCATAGCTGGGATAACTAGGTAGAACCACAACATTCAGCTATTGGTTGAGATGGAGTCTTGCAAACTTCATGCCTAGACTATCCTTGAGCCTCCATCCCCCATCACTGTCCCACAAGTAGCTAGGATTACAGGCTTAAGCCACTGTGCCCAGCTTAGACCTGTCCTCTAACTATTATTAGAACTAAAAAAAATCTACACCCAGATGTCTAATTCATTCTTGTGTTGCTGGGGTTTGAACTCAGGGCCTCAATAAGCAGATGCTCACTAAGCAGATGCTGTACCACTTAAGCCACACCCACAATCCCTGGTGTTCTAAATTCAAATGCTAGAATATCGGTTTTTATGCAAACATGTGATTACATCATATTCATATATTTCACCCGCTTACATCTTTTAATTACAAAAGTTTAATTAAAATATTTGTCTTTGTTTACTATCGCTACTATTCCCACAAGATTTGAAAATGGTGAATTTCTTATAATCTCCCTTGGTTTTCCTTTTTATTCTGATATCAATGATTTCTTTGCACTAAAGTTTAAGAATACTACACCAGGAGCTGGTATCTCATGCTTGTAATCCTAGCACCCAGATCCTCAATTCAAGACCAAGTTCTGACACAAAAAAATAAAATAAATTAACTTTAAGAATACAAAAACAGGGGCTGAGAAGATGGCTCATGGTAGAGTGCTTGCCTTGCATGCATGAGGCCCTGGGTTCAATTCCTCAGCACCACATAAGCAGAAAAAGCCGGAAGTGGCATTGTGGCTCAAGTGGTAAAGCACTAGCCTTGAGCTTAAGAGCTGAGGGACAGCGCCCAGGCCCAGAGTTCAGGTCCCCGGACCAACAAAAAGAAAAAGAAGACTAAAATATTATAATTTGCTTATCAGTATTTCACAATGCCAAATGTCCTTTGTCAGACCAGATCCTGATTCTGATGTTGTCTCAAAAAGCATCTTTTGTGAACATTCTAAATAGAAACCAAATTAAAATCAGTTTTTAAACAAATAACTTTTTATTTTATACCCCTTTAATATCATAGTATATCAAACCTAAATTCAATGCTTTTGGTTTTTTTGGTTTTGTAATTATTGTTTTCTTGTTTTGTTTTGGAGATAGGATCTTGTTATGAAGCCCAGACTGGCCTCGAATTCCAGTTTGCACTGCCTTAGCCTCCTACATGCAGGATTATAGAACTGTGCCACTATACCCAGCTCTACTTCTAGCTGAACTTTTTTGTAAGATTGAAATTGGGAGCATCAGAGGGGAATATTCTAGCAGCATTTAGAATAATGAAAACAGGTCAAACATGTTTGATTTTTGTATGTGTGTTTTTTTAATGTGTCAGTCCTTGGGCTTAAACTCAGGGCCTCTACACTGTCCCTGAGCTTCTTTTGCTCAAGGCTAGCACTCTACCACTTGAGCCACAGCTCCACTTACAACTTTTTTGGTGATTAATTGGAGACAAGAGTGTCACAGACTTTCCTGTCCAGGTTGGCTTCAAACTGCCATTCTTAGATCTCAGCATCCTAAGTACCTAGGATTACAAGTGTGAACTACCAGCACCCAGCCAAACACGTTTAATATTTGGGATATAGAGTTTTTCAGTTGAGGCTCATGCCCAACTTCCCTAAAAAGTACCTCATGATCCTACTTTCTTTAAGTGTCTAGAGTCCTGGAGGGCCAAAAGCATTCTATTCCCTTTCTTGGAAGCCAGGGAAATGCTAGAACCACCCTAGGGACCAAAGTGAGGCCACATCTTCCCTGAGAAGTATGGCCCACTCTAGAGCAGCTCCAAGAGGTGACCCAATTCCAGGTTTTTCATAGTTGAAAGAAATAAAAACACAGGGGAGCAGAGGAAAAAACTCAAATCCAGAGCAACCCTAAGAGTTTAGGTTCATTCCTAGCTGGTTAGGAGAAATGAATTAGACTGTGTTCTTTCTCATCTGAACCTAACATTATCCACTTGCATGAGCTACCTTCCCTGAGCCCTGGGACCTTCCTTTGTCAGGTCCAGGTAAATGATTCCTGAAGACTCTGCATCAATCTGATAAACCAATCCCAGGAGCCCATGGGTACCTCCAACACCCTTCTTATGCTGTTTCTCCTTCTTGGCTTCAGATTCTGGACATTAATGTGAAGGCTGCAGCTCTGATGACAAAGGCAGTAGTGCCAGAGATGGAAAAAAGAGGGTATGGAAAGGGAGTCTCGGTGAGATGGGGCTCTGAGTGGGCTGAGTACAGTGGTCTCCACCAGGAAAATGATCGGCTCTCTTTTTCTTCCAGAGGTGGGTCAGTGGTGTTTGTGGCTTCCATAGCAGCCTTCGCTCCAGTTCCTGTAAGAACCCCTTCATCTCCTACTTTCTATCCCATCCTCCATTCTCTACCCCTCTGATTACCCAATAAAGCATGTATTCCCTTTTAGGATCATACCACCAAATCCCTTTAATAATTAAGAAAAAAAAAAATATGCCTTGCCTCCCAAACCCTAACATAGAGAAGGGAACAAGATAGCTTCCTAAATGTGCCATTCCTAATAGGAGGCACCCTATTTATTGTTCCTTTGATGGCCTGGAAACTAAGATACTAACGTATTCTTTTCTTTCAGGGCCTGGGCCCTTACAATGTGAGTAAAACAGCCTTGCTGGGTCTTAACAAGAACCTGGCCCTTGAGCTGGCACCAAAGAACATTAGAGTGAACTGCCTGGCACCGGGACTCATCAAGACTAATTTCAGCAGTGTGGTAAGGAAACAGAGCCCTGTACCCCCTGGAGCCCCTAGAGCCCCTAAAAAGCATCTATCTTTTGGGATGGGGAAAACCCAGTGTCAGAGTCCTGAGCTCACACTCATTTCCATCCTCACTTCCCTAGGCATTTCCCAGTTCCTTTCCATTCCAGCCACTCTCCACACAGAGACTCCCACACATACCTTTCCTGAGGTGCAGGAGGGTAGTCAGGAGTTCAGTCTCTACTCACACTGAACTAGATGAGAATTGGGGAGAGCCAGCAAAATGCCTCATTAGGACCTAAAAAGAATGAAATAGGGAAGGACAATGAGGAGTTTTGGGAGCCAAGAAGCAACAAGAAGTAAAAGGGGGTGTCTCTCCATCCTTCCTCTCAGTTAACATGGGAATGGACAGTTTCCTCCCTTTACCATCCCTCAATTTCCTCTTCTTTCAAGTAAAAAAATGTTTTCCTTCTTCCTGCAGTTGTGGATGGACAAAGCAAGAGAGGACAGCATAAAAGAAAGCATGCGTATTAGCAGGTAAGCTATCACAGGGGAAGATGAGGAAGGGTAATGATGGAAATGCCTCCTCCATAACATCCCATAGTTGACTGCCTGGTGCCACAGATAACATGGGCATGCCTCTTAGACTTCACAAGTTCATAAACACTATCACTACAGTAGTCTTTCCAACTATGCTGCTTCCACTGCAAAAAGCAGAGATGTGGGGGTTTCAGCTGAATAGAGCTGTGGGTGGGGCCCTGACCTCTACTTTGCTGTCTACCTCCACTTCTCTGCAGATTTGAGACCGAGAACCAAAACCAGTTTTTTATAGTTCCCCCTTGAATATACAGTCATGTTTCTACAACTCAGATTGATGACCCTACTATCAAAATAAAAGGAGTAAAGAGCTTGCTAAGCCCTGAACTCCTTTGCCTAAGGAAATTGTTCTCATCCCTAATGGGCTGGCTAAATTATTCAGATATCTTTGCTAGACTTTCTTTCCTCTAAATTCCATGCCCTTCTCCAACTTTTCATGTATGTGTGTGTGTGTGTATGTGTATGTGTCACGCACACGCGCACACACACACACACACACACATGAGCACGTGTGCACACGCATGCATGCATCCACCAGTACCAGAGCTTAAGCTAAGGAGCCTGGGTACTGTCCCTTAGCTTTTTAATTTAGGGCTGATACTTTCTACCACTTGGGCCACAGCTCTACTTCTGGCTTTTTGCTAATTAATTGGAGATACGAGTTTCATAAATTTTTCTGCCTGGGCTGGCTTCAAACCAGTCCTCAGATCTCAGCCTCTTGAGTAGCTAAGATTACAGGCTGGAGACTCTGGCACCCAGCTCCCTTTTGTCTTCTGAGCATTCTTGCCTTTAGCTTCTCCATTTTGACCCCTCAAGTACAAATGTCAACAATTCCTCCCTCTTTACTGGTCCTAACATCCCAGACTCTCTCAAGTCCTTACGAAACCATTTTAATGTCAGGCATGAGCTGCAGGTCTAGTTCATGATTCATTAATAAGTCAGGGTATTGTCATTTTAGAGCTTCCAGTGAATGGTCTAGCCCCATATATCTCAACTGGATGCACATTAGAATTATCTGGGGAGCTTTTTAAACTGCACTTGCTCAGACCCTTCTCCCAGAAACTCTTCTTTAATTAGTCCACAGTGGTACCTACACATCTCTTTCTTCTTTTTGTTAAGCCTCCCAAATGACTGCAACATGAAACTAAGTTGGAGAATCACTAATCCAAGCCTTCTAGACTTGAGTTTCCTATTCTACCTATCTCTAGAGCATTCGATGCCAGTTCAAGTGTTCCCTAACTATATAATCATTAATACAAACAGTGAAAATTAACAAGTTCTTACCAAATGAACATGACCTTAAGGAACAAAAATAGATTTCTGAAATAGTAAATTGAACTTGCACAAATGGGATCACTTAATCACACCATTTACTGTCATACAGACTCCTGACACTTGAATAGTTATGTATATGTGTGAAACAATTCTTCTTTTGAAGTATGAAACAATTGCCCACAATTTTATTAATAAGACTTCGGATTCTGGTGTTCTGAGCTCTCTAAAAAGGAGGTCTCCATATTCAAATAGAATGTATTTTAGCAGGACACAATATTTATGCTTACACTAAATTATAACAGCTTGGAATCATGATAACACTTTTTGTTGCTGGTACTGGGGCTCAAACTCAGACACTGAGCACTGTCCCTGAGCTTTAGTACTCAAACGTAGTACTCTGGCTGGGAAGGTGGCTCAGGGGTAGAGTGCTTGCCTTGCATGTATGAGGCCCTGAGTTCAATTCCTCAGCACCACATAAGCAGAAAAAGCTGGAAGTGGCACCGTGGCTCAAGTGGTAGAACGCTAGCCTTGAGCTGAAGAGCTGAGGGACAGTGCCCAGGCCCAGAGTTCAGGCCCCATGACCAGCAAAAAACAAAACAAAACAAACAAACATAGTACTCTATCATTTGAGCTCTAGCTCTACTTCTGGCTCTTTTTTTTTTTTTTTTTTTTTTTGCTGGTTCATTGGACTCTCTGGGACTTTCCTGCTCAAGCTTGTTTTGAACCACTATCCTCAAATCTCTGTCCCCTGGGTAGCTAGGATTACAGGCATGAGCCACTGCTGCCTGGCTTCTGATAATTCTTGGTTAAGCCAATTTCACTTGCTGTGGGACAAGTGAGCGCCTGTTTGATTTTTACTTGCTTATTTCTATTTCTTTCCTTTGTTCCCCAGAATAGGCAAACCAGAGGAGTGTGCAGGCATCGTGGCTTTCCTATGCTCTGAAGATGCCAGCTATATCAATGGGGAGACGGTGGTGGTAGCAGGAGGAACCCCATCTCGCCTCTGAGGACCTAGAGACAGCTCACCACCCAGAGGTTGATTCCAGTTCACCAAGGGAGGAATAGTCCCATCTCTGGCCTTCCCCATCTCTGCCTATTGCCCTGTTCACCCCATAAAAATCAGTTTTGCCTATGCTAAGGTCCAACCTTCCCTGCTTCAAGGTATGACTTGATGAGGATTTCCACTGTTGCCATGGCCTTGGAGAGAAGCTTCCCCTGAAAACACAGCAAATCTGCTGAAAAGGGTGTTTCTACCTCTGCCAAGATCAAGTTTGTTGTTTTTTTTTTGGGTGGAGGGGGGTTGTTTTTGCGTTTGTTTGTTTTTTGTCCTGGATCTCTGGGGAAATTGAAGGGAACTGAGAAAGGAGTGGAAGGAGCAGGGTTGGAAATTAACAATTTGCAAATGAAGTGCAAATAAAATGTAGGTGATCACGGCTTTGAGTTGCATGCTCATTTCTCAATGTGTGGTGACCAGAGTTTGGGCAGAAGTCTAGCCAGGCTGGATCTCTGCATCTCCCCAGCCCTCCACCCCGTCACCCAGGCCTGAGCCTGATGCTCACTCCAGGGCTCCAGGGCTCCAGGCGTGGAGGTGTCTGCAGATCTGCCAGCTGGGAGGAGGAGGCTCGGGAACTCCCAGGTGCTACTGTCAGCCTTACACCCGCAGGGATGGTGCCAAGGACGCCACGGGGATCCCCGAAACCGAGCAAGCGCACAGGAAAGAGCGGCCAACTCCCCAGGATCCGGCTGGGTCCTCTCCAAGCATCGCCCTTGGTGGCAAGTTCCCTCCAGGGTCAGCAAGGACAAGCTAGACGCGTGCTGAGCCGGGCGAGGGAGAGACATGGGAGGGGCCCCGCGAGGATGACCCGCCGAGGGGAACCCAGTCCTATAAACAAAGACATTGGGGGGTTCGGCCCTGAGCTCCCGAGAAGCGGGGTGGCGCGGCCAGCAAGGAACACCGCCCCCACCCCGGAGGTGGCCGGGACGTCAGGCGACACGCGCTCGCGGGGCTCTCACGAGGCGGCCCGCGGGAGGGGTCTGCGCGAGCGCGCGCGGGGTCTCACGCGGCTCGGCGGCGCCGCGCGCATGCCCAGGCCGGCGCCTCTCCGGGCGGGGCGGGGGACCCGGCGCTCCGGGGCGGGGGAAGGAGCGCTCGCGCAGCCGCCCCTGACGGGAGCGGGCTCGGCTGCTGCTGCAGCGCTCGGCGCCGGGGCCCGGCCGGAGCCGGGACTAGCATGTGCCGCGGCTCTCGGGCGGCGGCGGCGGCGGCAGCGCCTCCTCGGCAGCAGCAGCAGCAGCAGCAGCATCGGCCGCCATGGCCAAAGCCGGCGTGGAGCTCACCCGCGAGCTGCAAGGTACGAGGGTGCCTTGGTGTCTGGGACGCCCCGTCCGGGAGCATCTTCAGACCCAATGCTTTTCCTGCCCGCGCTACGCCCCAACCTGGTGCCTCCCGCCCCTTCAGCGTCCTTGCTCCAAGGCGGTTCCTACTCCTGCAGCCCGGGGCTCGGGCAGCGCTGTCCCCGGAGCCTCCTCCTCAGGCTTCCGCGCCTCACCCTGCCTGTCCCGGGGCCGCCCGTCCCGCTCTTCGGGGACAGGTGCACTTCCCCGCGCTCCCCGGGGCTGACTTGGAGCGTCCCGGACCTGCCCCTCCGCGCGCCGTCCAGGCTCCCCCTCCGGAGTCCCGCTTCCCCCACCCCCGGCCGGGCGGGGCCAGGCCCGCCCCGCGAGGCAATGGGAGCTGCCCCTGGTCCTGACCGCCGCTCTCCCGAGCACCTTCCCTCCTCTCGGCCCCGCCCCGGAACTGGCCCCGGAGAGCCCCCTAGGAGGCAGGCAGCGCCCAGGCCAGTGGGGCAATGAAGGGAGTCAGAGGAGAGGCCCCAGACTGAGAGCAGGATCTCTGCGGCTCTCCCCCTCCAGCCTACCCCCTTCTCACTACCCACCACCCACACCTCAAGGCCTCTCCCGCTAGCCTGGTTCTCAGATTCAGCCCAGTCCACGCCTGTCCCCCTCCCCCTAGCCACAACCCTGACCCCTCAGAGGCAGGAGCACTGGCGAGCCCACGCAGAGAGCAGGACGCTCAAGGATACTCAGCCATGCTGCACTCTGGCGATTTCCCACACCTACACATGCACAGGAGCACAATCATGAGATGTGTGTAGACTCAGCTTTACAGAAACTGCACCCCCACCACACACATAACTGTAGGGTATCTGGAAGGTATTGCCAGCAGATGGACATAGAGCTCGTCTAAACACTAAATCTTCCTCCCCCCTTCCCAAACACCCCTTCCTACCCACTACCCGCGCATGCACACACACACACACACACACACAGAGGAGCTGTCTGGCACTATGCTCCTTTCACAGCTACAAGCCAACATATTCATTCACACTTCTCTGTCAACACCAATGACATGCTCAGGCTCCTTCACATCCTCAGAAGGCAGCCACATACTCGTAGTAAAGGCAGACTTTCATACCCGGGCCACCTAACATACAGTCAAGGGACACTCCTACACCCTACACACTGACTCACTGTGTATGTGTTGATGGCTGTTGTAGTGCATGGGTTGGAAAAATCCTTTACACCCTCAGAAGTGTAAGACACACCCTCCCACAGACAATGTCACTCAACAACTGTCCCTTGACTCAGGAACATCAGGAACCAGAGTTTTCTCTGTATCCTGCACCCTCTCTAATCAGAAAGTCACCAAAGAAGGAAAAATCTCTATCCTGTACCTCTTCATCCCTACTACTCTCTCCTCTCACCTGCCCCTTCCTCTACCTGGAGACTCCTGGGGAAGGGGGTGCCCAGAGAAAGGGCAACCCTGAGCAGGGACCCACCTACCTGCAGACAGCATCCGGAGGTGCCTGAGCCAAGGGGCTGTTCTCCAACAACATCGTGTGAAGCTGGAGACGAAACCCAAGAAGTTTGAGGACCGAGTGCTGGTGAGGGTGTTGATGTTGGGGAGAGGAAGTAGGTGGTGAGAGCACCTGGGCTCTAGGGAGATGGGCAGAAGAAATAGGTGGGGGATGGCTGAGAAATCAAAGCTCAGGACAGAGAAAAGAGGATTGAACTGGGTTGATGTCCAGGATCTGAGGGTAGGGCAGGAGAGAGGAGATACTCAAATCAAAGCTGAGTACCCTCTCTGTACTTAGAGGGGCTAAAAGAGGGCAAAGGCACCAGGGTCTAGGCAGCTGCCATGAACTACTAATACTCTCTTCAGGCTCTGACCTCCTGGCGCCTCCACCTCTTCCCCCTTAAAGTTCCTGCTAAGGTGAGTTGGGCTGAGGAAAAGGAAAACACTTGGCATGCTCCCTCTCATGCCTAGTGACTAATCCCTTACCAGCTATTTCTCCATCCCTCCAGGTAGAGAGCTCCTTCAATGTCCTGGAGATCCGTACCTTCAACACGCTCAGTCAGAACCAGGTGAGCACCAGGGCTCAGGCCACTGTTCAGCCAACTGAAGGAGGGAGTTAAATCCAAGACTGTCCAACTCCCTCTCCCCCAGATCCTGGTGGAGACCGAGCGTGGCATGGTGAGCATGAGACTGCCATCAGCTGAGAGTGTGGACCAGGTGACACGACATGTGAGCTCTGCCCTCTCCAAGGTCTGCCCTGGCCCTGGGTGAGTGGCCAACTAGGGGTCTCCCAAAGGATTAAACAACAGGAAGACTTCCCCTTCCCCTGGACCTGAGCTTCTGGGACACAAGAAGTGTGTCTCCTCCTGCTCTTTCCTGGAGACCTTCTAGGTCCCCAGGAATAATAGGGAAAGGATTGAAAGCCTCTTTCCACACATCTCTGGGATGACTTGTTCATCTTACAGGTGTTTGATCCGGCGTGGAAATGCAGACACCCCAGAGGGGCCCCGAGACACATCCCCCAACTCTGAGACTTCCACATCTACCACTCACAGTGTGTGTGGTGAGCAGGGGTAGACATAAGGAAGGTGGGCCATTGACTACCCCGTCCATGTTTGGGGCAGGTGGGGGGAGATTGCCTGCACTGAGGATTCCACTGTTCTTGGATCTCAGGAGGTACATGGAATAACAAGGACCCGGGAGACTAGCACATACCATGACCTTTACCATACCTTGAATCCCAAGCCTAGTCTCCATCCCTCTACCCCTCATGAAGCCGACCCACTTGCTCCACAGGTGGCTTCTCTGAGACCTACGCTGCCCTGTGTGACTACAATGGGCTGCACTGTCGGGAGGAGGTGCAATGGGTATGTTGGGCAGAGGGGCTGGCAGGGAGGAAATGGACCCAGAGGAAGGGGGCAGAAAAGGAAGGGGAGAAGGTATGAGCCCATTCCACCTCTCCAAGGATGTGGACACCATCTACCATGCTGAGGATAACCGCGAGTTCAATCTTATGGATTTCAGCCACTTAGAGAGCCGGTAAACACACTCAGCAGACTCAATCCTCAAATCCCCAGCCTAAGCCCAACCCTGGCACTTTCCAATATCTCCCCATGGTCCCCCTCACAGCCCCTACTCTTACCTCCCCAACTCACCACCTTCCCTCACTGTCATGTAGCTTTCCCCAGCCCAGTCAGCCCACCCCTGTCTCTTATTTCCTGTCCCAGCCACCTGCTTACCACTTCCTGCCCCCTTCAATATCCCCACAGAGACTTGGCCCTAATGGTGGCAGCCCTGGCCTACAACCAATGGTTCACCAAACTTTACTGCAAAGACCTACGGCTGGTAAGAACTAGGAGGGGTTGGGGAAGGGCAGAGTAGTGTCCTCCTTGGCTCCTGATTGCAGGACCCCTCTGTCCCCAGGGCTCAGAAGTGCTAGAACAGGTGCTACATACTCTGAGCAAATCGGGAAGCCTCGAAGAGCTGGTGCTGGACAATGCTGGGCTTAAGACGTGAGGCCAGCCTCCTCTGTGGGCAGTGGTGCCCCTTCATGTAGTCTGAGGGTTCTAGAACTTCAGAGCATGCTATGGGTTCCCAGACTTAGTCATCTAGCACCTGTCTTTACAGAGAGGATGCTGGGGTCCAAGGAGGGCATAAAGAAAGCTAATAGTGAAATTGGGACTCAGACCTCAGCCTCGTGATGACCCAGCTACATGGCCTTTCTCCATTATACTCCGTGCCCCATCTCCTCTTCCCTCAACTACCTGGGGTGGGCTGCTCCAGATTTGAAAACTCAAAGCTGGGCTTTGTCTCAGTACAACTTCTTAAGGTGTGGAACACCCCCAGGTACTCCGGAGAGGTGACCAGGTCCCTAGCAGTCCCTGAGCTCCTCCCCTACTGTGGGAGCCTCTGGCCATTGCAGCCCCAGCCAGGCAGGCAGGTAGAGAAGGGAAGGCCAGGGGCTGGGACTTGGAGCTAAGCTCAGGACAAATCCTTCCTCCCCTTCCCTGAAGGGACTTTGTCCAGAAGCTGGCCGGGGTGTTTGGGGAGAACGGGAGCTGTGTGCTGCATGCCCTCAC